ATTTTCTACAGATGTAAAGAAAGATGCTGTACCTGTTTTAAACTAAAATTAAAAAACATTTATTAAAAAAAAAAGAAACAGCAAAGGAACGGCTCACAGTGCCTCTGCCAGCGAAAATGGAGCTAACCAAGACTGTGGATAGCCCTCCCGAGCTCCGTTTTCACTGGCAGAGGGTTGCAGGACGCCGTCATTGCCGAAAATGGAACTCGGAAGCCCGTTTTCTCTAGCAGAACACTCAGGCCACCACAGGCGCCTCCAACCTGAGTGAAGTTGAGCTGGCCATGCCCATCTTGGCCATGCCCACTCTGGGCCCCCCGAGGTCAAACACAACCCTGATGTGCCCCTCAATGAAATTGTTTTGACACCCCTGACATAGAATCAAGGAAAGGATCAAGTATCGTACAAAAGAGGAAAGTATTTTTCTCTCAGCAACACTGAATAACTTTCTGCACTAAAAGAAAAGGATCAGTTCAAAAGATCAAATTTCAGCCCAGTTTAAAGGGAGTTGCTGAGGGAGGGAGTTTCTGTTCCAGGCCTGCAACTTGCTTTTCTCCAGCATATTTCCATTATTGAACACTAATCATCCAATCATGCAAAAGCGAAGCTATATGTAACTCTCTGCAACCTTGCATACAGAACCCATAAATTTAGCATCTGTTCAGACTTTACGTTTACTGCACAGCACATCAAGAACAGAGCCCTTTCCCATTCATCTTACACTAAAAATATATGCCCATCGGCCTAAAATTAGATGTCAAATATACTGAAATGAAATCTAGTATGTATTTGATTTTTTTTGCACCATAAAATCAAGTCACACAGAGATTTCAGGTTGCATTATCCTTAATAATCATTACATGCTTAGTTATTTCATCTGGAAAGTGATTAATGACACTTGAAGACCAATAGAATGAAGGCAATCCAATTAGACAAAAAGCCAAACTCCTCTCCAAGGACTCTCACTTTAGTCCTAAATGCTATTATCAAAATGATTTAGCAATTCTGCTAAAAGGAAAAGGGATGGAATTGTCACTACACAGTGCCATTTTCCAATGATTAAGTGTTCACATATTCACTGCAGCACACTCATGAATGAAGCATCTTTGATTTAAAATCTGCCTGACATTGTTCCAAAACATCTCATGAAAATGATACTGTAAAAAGCTAGCCCACCAGCCTCCAGGGTTATATTTTTTTATCACCTCTGTAAAGGCAGCGTGATTTCATACATTCAGAACTGAAAGCTAACAAAAAAACACAAAGACAGTAAAAGAAAGAAGAGAAAGGCATCTTTGCAAAATGTGTAATTATTATTGGGGGAGGGTTATTCCTTCACTGTGTCTGAGTCCATTTCTTTTCATTCATTAAGATTATTCAATTCTATTCTGTGCAATCAAATGTCTGCAATGCAATTGCAAAAATCTCCGTAATTAATTTTAATCATACTTCACATCATACAAGCAGTGGTGGGATTCAAATAATTTAACAACCGGTTTTCTGCCCTAATGACCAGATGGGTAGGCGGGGCTCAGTGGTCATATGACCGTAGATTTGTAGATTTATTGAACATTTATAGGCCGCCCTTTTCCCTGAGGGGACTCAGGGCGGCTTACAACAATGGGGGAAGGGAGTGCAAAACAAGACATAAAAGAAACGTGAATAAAAAAAATTAACTATAAAACACAACATTCACTCAACATTCGGGCGGGGTGAGAGTAAATCCTATCCCCAGGCCTGATGGGGAAGGAAGAAGGAAACAAAAAGACCAGAGCACATCCTCTCCTCCCACCAGCCAAGGTGGTGCAGTGGTTAGAGTGCAGTCCTGCAGGCCGCTTCAGCTGACTGTTAGCTGCAGTTCGGCTGTTCAAATCTCACCGGCTCAAGGTTGACTCCATCCTTCCGAGGTGGGTGAAATGAGGACCCAGACTGTGGGGGCGATATGCTGACTCTGTAAACCG